AGGTTTCGCAATAGCGATTTTAAATATGCAAATCAGCATGTCTCCTGATAATCACAGCCGATATAAAGTCGAGGTGGAACGGAATGTATCAGAGATACATTTTGATTTTGTTTGTCGCTTTGTAGGTAGTGTGATGCACCACAGATTGATTAGGAAAGATATGTAACAGCCTTATCCGACGTCAAATATTTATACATTAAGATCATAAAGATGTAGAATATCTATGATAGGGATATCTCTTATATTTAATGGCATAGGAAAACAAGTGAACATGGATCAAAATGGGGTATTTGGAGCACTCTAAAAAAGATCTGCATCAAGTCGTACACTAGCCGTGTTAAGCAACATGCAGCATTTTGTAACAATGAAAATCCATGAACACAATCAAAAAGGATCTCCGCCTGAAAAAGTGACATAATTCACGCGTACACAAGTTGCTTCCATGTCATATCTGTTCAGTCATTGCATACCTCCGGCAGCTGAAGAATGAAATAGATATACATGCTATTCCATACGAAGACATGTCAGTCAAGTCTCTAAACGCAGCGCCTATGGATTTCTGTGCGACTGGACTGTTGAAACGGGTACTCGGAAACCGTTGTCCTCGTATAATAGTAAGTTTATGGAAAGTAACAGGAATACATGGTGTGCTTTTAAAAAGATGGCTTTAAGACGGAGCCTTTTGCAACGGAAATTATGCTGCAGAGTTATTGTCAAGAAGTACGGTCATGAGACAGAACATAAACAGATGTGGACTTATCAGTGTGAAGAGGCTCTAAAATCGTTCTAACATAACTTACACAGACGCTGTAGTATACAAGGTTCATACCTGTTTTCATACTTCTGTGAAAAATGTGCTCATTGTCTACTAGGGAAAAGTGAGGTAAGACGGTTTACTTCAATAAGAAGACCACTCCTTTGTAAGTGGCAGTGCTCACGTGACTCTGTGCATAAACAATAGTAGGTGGGCCAAGCGTGAATGGGTAAAAAAAATTCGTTTTTCAACAACTTTGATCACAGCTAAGCACTTTGAAGTATTTATAGCTCCAAAGTAGATGTGTTAAGGAATTTCATATTGTTGAATTTAAACAATGAGGAATTGAAGACAGAAACATAGATTAAGTTCACTGATTTTTATAACGTGCGATTGCTTCACGATGAGTAGCTTAAGGTAAGACGGTCCCACGCCGTGGGGCAGTCTTACCTCACATTAATGACCAACACTTCCTCCATAGGCTTCGACCGCAATAGCTGTCATTGCCCCACATTAGTTACCACGCTCATTTGCGCCTTTGTCCTAGATAATGCGCAACTTGCGCATGGCCATGGCCTTCCCAACCCCTGCCGGACCATTTAAATGATGGTTTAAATTATCTAAATGTAGTTGCTAAATGCAACATATATTTTCAATTGTAGTTGTTATGAGTTATATGTAACAATTTTACCCCGTCCTAGTGGTCCGTTTTATCTAACCTTATAGGTAAAACGACCACATTCTTCACACAACTAGAAATGATAGCTATAATAAACTATGGTTCATTTTTAAACCTCATGATGTGTCATAACATCCGTCTTAATTGGTGAAGATCTTATTCCAATTTTAACGGTGGCCGTCTTACCCCACCTTCCCATATACATTATTTTTTCTGGAATGAAACCTAGTACTCATTTTATTCGCAATATGGGTCTTCGGGATTAATAGGATTTGTTGAATGTTCAGATTTTTCAAAGCAAAAATCGATTCAGTTTAATAAAACATATTTTGATTGTAAACATAACTGATGTTTTTATTTGGGGAATGGTGAAATAAAGATGGGAATATCTGATATAACATTCTATAGTCAACCCTTTTTACATTTATTTACTTTTAAGATTTGTTCAAGTATATTTATGTTGCAATTATTTAAATTTATTGAATTTGAGAGAAGTCATAATTATCTAGATTATACCTATCACCTTTTGTACATACAAAAGTGTTCCCGTTAAGTATCGTTTTCTGTGAGACTTAGCTGACAGGATAGAGTATTAAATGCATTACCCTTTATAAGATATACAAATTTCTGTTATTTAGAATAAAGTAAAATAAAAACTGGCACAAGTAGCTCTAAAAATGACTGATACTTTATATTTGATAGATTTAAGCTCTATGTTTGTTCTTAGAGACAATGGAGCAAAGTACACATCTAAGTTATAAAAACAGAAAGTGAAGTAAATATTAACTAAGTGATTCATTTATTTCTCTTTTATTCACTGTTAACTGTGTTGCAAAAATTGTAATGAGCAAGAACAGACTGGGCTGATCTGTTTCGTATGAAGAATATTACTGCTTTTTGAAGGTTATTAACGTGCAAAATAATTACATAATTAACTAGAATACATGTAAATTACGTGATACATTTTAAATACGGCGTGATAGCATTCAATCATAAATATTTTGGGAAACCGATTATGTATCTTATGTGTCTGGTGTTTTCTTCATTTGCGTTATAGTTGTGTATTTTGTATACCTTTGACATTTTGAGGAAAAGCATGATATACAGGGGTGTACACCATTGATCATCATTGTTTGGAAAGGAAAGAAGAAACCGAAATTATTATTTTAAATTGAAATTGAAAAAAAAATCCCTTAAACACTTTTTCTAAAATAGTTTTAGAATATGAAGGAGCTTCTTTATAACGTTATAAAGAATTGTATAAATCTGACAGCTGTCGGCAGCTGTGACAGTCCAAGTACTGATTATTTTTCGAATAACGCTAATTACTGTTATCTAAAGATTGAAAGTCAGCCAATCTTTCTGAAAATAACTTTACTTTCATTAGAATAAAGTTTTATGAATTTTAAATTACTGACTATCTGTCATTATGGATTAAAGTGCTCATTCTGTTTCTGAAATACGAATGATGCTCTGGATTTTAAACTTCTATCTATCTATATCTATCTATCTATCTGTTCTTCTACCCATCCATAAATCTATCTCTATCTATTGTTATTAGTCTTACAAAATTTTTCTCACTTTTGTCTTTTTGTGGCTATTTTCTCATTTAATAAAATTATAGCTAAATTATATCTATCCAAAATAATTTTATTAGTTTCTGCTTCAAAATAATTATAAAACATAAAATTGTGAAATCTGCTTGTATTTAGAAGCTTGAATTACCGTACTTTATGTATTTAGACGATGAAAATATGAAATACACACTCAAGCTGGACAACATACATTACTATATTCTCATATAATTAAAACTAATAATTCTTAATTTGTAAAAATTGTATATATAGAACTACAAAATATATTCTGATTTACTGTAAGACAGACTGAGACCGCCAAGAAAGTCAGAGGAAACTTCATTGACGTGAAGAGCGACGAGCAGCTATAGTGTAGTCGAAAAGCTTGAACAGGAAGCAGCTTAAGATGGACTAGAAGATTATTAGAACAACCATTTTAGCTATCAGAACAATTTGCTATGAAATCTACCACGAAACACCTAGTTTCTCATTTTTCTCCAAAGATAGTCTAGAACACCTACCGTTGTTCCTTAACGCAAACTCTTCTAGAAACTTTAAGTTTTATATTCCAAGCTACTCTCTCTTTTTGGGTATAAAAAGCCAGAGAATTAGCTTACCGCTTACTTTCCTTAATCATCTACCATTGTTCCACCTTGTCCTTGTTTTCGAGAAAGTGTACATAAAAACTGTTTTGAAATTTCTTAAACTATCAAATGTATATTAAAGATTATGGTCAAACATAAAAAATACGACTCAGCCAGGCCACCTTAGAAGTGTGGATAGTTTGGTTAACGTAACTTTTATTGATTATTTTACATTTGTTTTTATAAAAACGAACAAGAAATGACCAAATGATCTTCTGTTTTTGGGTTTTAAGAAATTAAAAAAATAATCATCATTTTTAAGTCTTTTGTTTTCTTCACTACGGGTTTATAGTTCAGAGCGCAATTCAAATATTAATCTAATAAATCAAGAATCTTAAACAGAAATCAAAACTTGAAAAACAAGAAGATTGCCACTGGAGCATTTTACATGTGACACATTCAATTATCCTAACTGTAAGAACAAATCGTAATATAAAACGTCTATTGCAGTTGTGTTTTTCAGTCCCAAATATAAAACAACTCACATATATGATTATATGTAAAAGAAAAGTAATTTATTGATAAGCCAAAGGTAAAACGTTAATATAATGATTAATCGTATTACAGGAAATCTATTATTCGGAGAAGCTGCATGCAAAATTTTAAAGGCATAAACACAGGAACGGTTCAATGGATTTCAACGGAAATCAATAGCGTATTTCTCATCTACTATAATGATGTCTCATATTCAAAGAATGAAAAAAAAAACGCCTTAAAATCAGAACATAATCATGTTGGAGGACAGACAAACTTTATTTTCTCAACTAAAACCGTGTTTACATATAATAGGAGAGAAGGCCATAGGTGTGCAATCAAATTTTTCTTAACTTTACTGAACTTTGTTATTATTTAGAATTAGGCTAAGATCTCTCTTTCTATGTTAACGCTTCTTAAAATTCAACGTAAGATGGCGTTAACCTTTCGTTGTTTAAAAAATTGTGAAAGTGTTCAGCTAATAACAAGTCAAAGTTTTGAAAAATTAAAATATTTTATCCCAAGTTCACCTTGATCATAATGCAAATACAATTTCCAGAAAAATTATATTAGCCGAAAACTAAAAAAAAAAAGTATCCTGCTTGTTAAGAATACTAAAAAAAAAAAAGAGAGAAGAAATTTATACATTGAGCGCTCGCCAATCTAAGGGGAAAAAGTTTATTGTCAACCAATCAGTGATTTTTTCGGTTTTTTGACTAAATTCACAAAATAACTTCTCATTGTTTTAAAAAGAAGCAGCATTTTTGAGATTCGAGTAATTTGGTAAACTGAAAAACAAATGATTAACCAAATTGAACTTATTTCCGTATTGTACTAATAGTTACAAAGCCCGGACTAAAAACCGGAAAACTTACCGTACACGTTGACTGTTGCCTCCTTACGATAAGCTAAGCCGCTTTCGTTCCTTGACTGGGCGTTGCACATATATTTCCCGGCATGCTTCAGGGTGGGACAAGCCAGCTGCAGTTTCCAAATCCCATCGTCCGCTTGCTCCGTTACTATAGTAACGTTTGGTAATTTCGAAGCATTATCACCGTTGAAAGTCCACCAGACGTCAGATTCTGGGGCAGGCGTATCCAGGTGGCAAGTAAGTATTGTAGTTGAACAGTTGGCCACTAGAGGAGGGTCCGCCTCATGTTTTAGAATGTTTAGAGATGCTGAAGAAAGAAAAAAAAATTAATGTTCAAGGCAGTTTCTTTTCACAAGCTGAGTTAATTTGATGTTGTAATACTACGTTTTTTAAGTCTCTAAATTTCATGTAGTTATTAAGAAAGGAATTGATATTTGAATAATATCAAAATGTATTATGAAATGAAATATAACTAAATATTGGTTTTATTTGTAAATAGTCTCTATTATCGCTTAAAACATAACTGTGGTCCCTAATAGGTAGGCGGCCTATAGGCTACAACAGGGCTTCAACAGGACATTTACATGCTTAACGCTTAATTTGGTGGATCATTTTCTATTTTTTAGTAGGATATATATGTACAACACTACTGTAAAGAATAATAAACAATATTTTTATTAGGATATATAAAACACTACTGTAAAGAATAATAAATATTTTGGCCTGCCGTAGTCTTGCGATTACCTTCTGGGCTGCGGATCGAAAAGTCCAAGATTCGCACGGCGATTCTGTTATTAGGTTGAAAGGTGGACAAAAGTTTTATGATGGCGGATGCCGCTAACTTGTAGACTATCTCTTGCCCAATACTTACAAATGAAGGACGACTATACCCGAGCTATAAGGGCCTTATGGTCTAGCTGTTTAGCCTATGTGACGTGTGAGGTGTCTTTTACAGGTTATAAATATTAGTACTAACAATTAGTTCAAAGGCACCACTTTATTTAGTATTCTGTAATAGCACTTCAGCGCTACTTCTGTTGTCGGCTAATCTGTATGAGACTTTTTACTCAACACCACCGCACGTCATGAGTTGAAGCGCACCAAGTTGTGTCGTGTAAAACATTGCAATTTGATCCTTCTTAAAACAACAATGGTAATGCTATATTACAGCAAAACTGTAAATACATCTACATACATTACCGAAACTTGAGCATTATTGTACTTTAAACTAACTGATGGAAGAGGAAAAAATTACAGAATAATATGTTAAATCTAACGTTAGCAAAATGAATTATAACTTCAAGTTCGCTCGAATCTAATAAACGCCTCACTCGTTTCATAAGGACCTGGAATGGCTTGGTGGTTAGGGCGCTCGACTCGCAATCTGAAGATCGCAGGTTCGAATCCCCGTCACCGAACATGCTCACCCTCTCAGCCGTTGGGGTCGTTATGATTTGACGGTCAATCCCACTATTAGTTGGTAAAAGAGTAACCAAAGTTTTGGCGGTGGGTGGGATTTGGTGGTCTATCACTGCTAAATTAGAGACGGCTAGCGCAAATAGCCCTCCTGTAGCTTTGCGCGAAATTCAAAACAAACCAAATCGTTTAATATATCCTGTTAAGCTAAAGATGACAAACGCTACTAAGTATTTTTAATTTATGATAGCTTTATTATCTAGCCACTTTAGAATTTAATATTGGGTCGTCAAGAAATTAATGTCGCTTTTTTTAGTATGAAAATACCGAATAACTTATATATCAAACAAAACATTTA